AAGACTAAATGGGACAGTAAATATATCTTTTAAAAATGTATGTACTACAGTTATCTAAATAGATATCTATGGAGATAAATATATCACAGCACATCACAGAGCATTTAATCTTCATCAAGAAGAGTTCTGTGAATCTCTTCAGAAACATCTTGTGGTGGAACACAATCAGGATCTACATCAATCTGATCATCAGAGGTCCTAATATTTCTGTAGAAATCATGGTACACTGGGTTTACTAAAGGAAGGAGCTCAAGAAGATCTTTTTTCTTTTCCACGCTGATGGGTATTTCTTCGGAGTTGCACGGTTGTGGCTTTAAAGCCTTTGAGCCAAGCTTTCCTCTTCTTCGGAAGCTAACCTCCTTAAAAGGCACATCTTCTTTGAGGGATTCTTTGTACTGTATTGTAGTTGGATTTTGTCTCTGGTAGCGAAACCATTGCACGTTGGTAAAGCAAAAGGGGTCCCCATCTCGGTTCTTTTGTCTGTGGATCAATGGTCCTCCTAGCTTCAGTTGTAACGTTGCAGCAAAATCTAGGAACTTATCTTTCATCTCTACAACATCCATGGATTCTTTCCTGTACTCTACACTCCTCACAAAATTGTAGAAGTTTGAGGGGTGATGCAGTTCGGCTGATGTTCGCCTCTTCTTCTTCTCAATTTGGGCATGAACTTGATCGCATTCCATGTGGGTATGCCCTGGTACCAAAAATTTCTGATCAATTATTTCCAGTGATGGGTGCGTAGCTACAGCTGTAATTAGTGCTGCACACACAATACTATTTTTATTTTGCCCTGAACATGTGTCAGACCACAATGTCAGCTTTTTAACACATGGTGGAATACCAGAAGAAATGTAATGAGTCAGACATGATGAGATTTCATTGGCACCTCGGCCCGCTTCAATCTCAGTCCACATATGGTTGATGCCTTGTTTCTTGAAACAATCAAAGATAGTTAAATTGTACACATTCAGTTGTCTTTTGTAGAAGACAGTTCCAGCTGTCATCTGAGGGCAAGCCAATACTTGTTGTAGGTCAAAGGACGCTACACGGCTTTCCTCAGTTTGGTTGGCTTTGTCCTGCTTCTTAGTCTGATATGCCAGCTGAGAATTTTCATGGTGCTCGTCATGTTCCCTTACAATCTCAGATTTTTGGTCTTCTGATGACGCGCTCTTCAATGCCACAGCAAACGTGTCACATTTCTGACAGGTGTCAATTTGAGGGGGTTTGAATTTTAGACCCGTCTTTCTAAACTCTCTGGAGTATGTACTTCTACTAGTTTTTGGATTACCCTTAACAGTATAATCCTCAAACATTGTTTGAATAGACAGACCAATACCAAGATACATTCTAGATGTGTGACTTCTACCATAGTGGCTACTATATTTTGGGAATCCATGAATATGTCTGTTAATTGCCTCTACAGTTGCATCAGGTGTTTTTCTAACCGAGGGCTTTCTCCCTCTGCGGTCAGTAGATGTCACTCCAGAAAGGGAACGCTTCTTGTTGTCCATAACACGCTTCACAAAGCCATCATTTTCATCTAATGTGGCCAAGAAGCACTTTTTACAAAATATTATGCGAACGCCCCGAACTTCCAACTCATACTTTAAGGTGCAAGTTCTGTTTCTGCTACTTCCACCAGTACTCTGCTTGCAAACTTTCTTGGGCATCTGAAAGACATGATTTGCTATGCAAGCCACTCTCTTATCATGACTTGATTGATTCCAATACTCAGCAAAAATAGTTTTCCTTTCATCTTCAGTAACTTTTTCTGAGCATTTTTGCTTGCATTTAGCAAGTGGCTTCAAACGTTTTGCTGCTACTACCTTATTTGTTGATGTTGTGTATTCACACCCTTTGTTTCGTAGCTCTCTCCTTTCTTTCACTTGGGCTGATTTGGTAGGTTCTTTCGTAGCAGCAGGGGAAGTTGGTGTGTTATTTTCAGAGCAGGCAGGTGAGATGTTGCCATTGCGAGCAGGAGAGTTGATGATGAAGGGCGAGCACTTGAGCTGCTGTTGACAGAGCGAGCAGAGTTTGGCAGAGAAGACTCAGGCGAAGAACCGGTCTCATCTTCCGAGTCAGAAGATGATGATTCTTTGGTTGAACGCTTATCATCTCCCCAGGTTGGATCGTCAAAGTCTGATCCATCAAAATCCCTGCGTGAGTCAGACTCTTCTGAATCATTATCTAAAAACACAATAGGAAAATTTTCACTGTAGTTATATGGGAACATGACAGGAACGGGAAGGGGGACTATGACTAGTAAAATAATACCTGATACGTCAGGTTTCAGTTGTTGCACTGCTTTCCTTTTAAGATGTTGACGATGGTTCCCTTCATCTGCACACAAAAAAGATATAAACATTTTTAAACAAAACACTCAAAATTTAAACTTAAACAGGAATAGCTCAGGGTAAGTACCATTCTTTGCAGAGTAGTTGAAGATCAATTTTTTTCTAGCTTTGTTCTCTCTTATTGAAGGTTCACAATCTATTGATTTTTCAGGTAAACCAGGTGAAGGATTTGAGTCAGAGCAGGCTGTAAATTAAAAAAAAATTAAAAATGAACTTCAACAAAGTTCATCCAAATTTGAAGAGGTAGGTACAACAAATATGAAATAGGATGTCAATTTCAACATTCAATGTACAAATTTTTACCTGATTGTGTTGACACCTCGAAAGTTGTTTTACAACTTGAGGAAAATTCATTGGCCAGTGGTATGGTAGTGTAGCCTAAAGTTCTCCTTGCTGGGGTAGTTTCAGTATCAGTAGCAGAATGACAGCTTGCCCCTTCATCACGGACATCTGTTAAACATGTGAATGCATAAAATAGAAATAAATTTAAATCAATACAAAATCTTTTTTGAACAGTACCCTCTTCAAAGTATCTTTTAACCATATGTTCTGAAATCTTACATGATATAGGTGTATTGAAAAATTTATTGTGTGCAAGACCAAAAGAAGTCAATTTACCTGGTTGTTTTGTCACCTCTGAAGTTCTTGTAGGACTTGTAGTCTTTGAGAAACATTTGTTGGCCAGTGGCCTGGTATAGCCTAGAGTTCTCCTTGATGTGGTAGATTCATCATTTTCAGTAGCAGAGTGACTGTTTTCCCCTTCACCACAGTCATCTCTTGAACATTCAGCTGAAAGCATAAAGTAGAAATAAATAGCACTTATGTTTCTCAAATCTTACATTCTATAATAAAAGATTAACTGTGTTGAAGACCAAAATAAGAAGTCAATTTACCTGACTGTGTAGACAAGTTGTTAATTTTGGTAGCAGGACTCAATTTATCCGAAGAAGTTTTTGAAGTGCAGCTATTGGCCTCATTTGGTTTACTTGATAGAACTTTACTAACATCATTAATTTCTTTTCTGGAGTTTTAATGTATTTGGTAGAGTTTGGACCTTTAAATGCTGTAGGTTTGCAGGGAACAACACCCACTGATTTAAAGTTGGAGTCTTTATTGTTGACAACTGCCAATTAAAATAACTTCAAATAATGATAATAATAAAAACAGAATCCTGTGTAGTATGGACTTGAACAGAATAAACTATTAGACTCAAAAATATCATTTCAAATACATAAGGGTCTGCCCCCTTAATAGCTCTTTAATATTTTTGATGATAACACAATGTATGAAGGAACCTTACCTGAGTTTCTTAATTGTGATGAGATTCTGATGGGGACACCTAATGTTTTCTTAGTCTGTGGGACATTGATTGGATTTGCACTGCTATCAATAGATGAAAATAAATTCTCACTATCTTTCTTAGGTGAAGACGGTACATTCTCTTTGTCATGAGCAGCCGTTGTGCCTGAAAGTAAGCATAAAATAAGCTAACTTAGACTTGTGAACTTTGCGGCCTTGACTTACCCACACAAGAATAGCCTCCAATACATACTTAAAACTGTTGTGGAGGGAGATGAAGGGTAATCCACAAGCTTTACTTTCTTTTTGGGGGGGTGTCACTGAATCCAAAGACGAATCTGTGCGACAGAGGGGGATTTCAGTTACTCTTTTCAAGTTCAAGTTAATTGAAATACGTAGTTAATTTGCTCGTCTTGAAAGAAGCCCCCACCATGAGCTCACCTTTATAGGGTTTATTCTGAAGCCAAGACTCGCACTTTCTCTGAGCTGAAGTCGCGATTGCAGCTGCAGCGAAGTCTGGGTTGAGAACTTGGAACTCTGATCCAGTATAGGAGGCGGCATCATCAAACCTCTCATTCCGATCTCTTAGTTTTCTTTTCTCATTTCTAGAATCTATTTAAAATGGGCAAAAAATTATGAGCAGTTGAAGATAAAATACACTGAGCAATCTGGGCCTAGCTGGTTAAATTGCAGTTGAATATTACCAATTTGATAGATCAAAATAACAAGCACCTTTCAAGACTGGTGGCTCTATACCAATCTTGGCAAACATGGCTTTTGTCCGATTTGAATTTTGCAAACCCGGCATGATGACTTGTTATGACTTGTAAGATAACCTGTAAAAAGAGTGGAAAGAGAGAAAATAATATATGTTAAAAATCCTTGGATTAACAGAATTGAGATTTAAATTAACATTTTCCTCGAGTGAATTTACAATTTAGAGAGAGAACCATAACCTATTAGCTTAAGTTGAGACAAAATGCACATATACCTAACAATTTTTGACAAAACAAAGTTGAACTTAAACTTGAAGTTGTATAAGCCTTTTTTTTTTTTGAAGTACTTGGCTTTTCTTTAACTCAGTATGGCAATAACATACCTTAAACTTCGACATTTTTAGTGACATTTGCAATTTCAGGCACAAAATACTAATAAAAATAAACATGACTGACTCCTGTTTGGTTAAGAGACACCATAGCCTTTGAGAAAAGAAGAGACCTTTGGTTTTGGTTGTTCAAGCTAGGTAAAGCTACGTCAAGCAGTCGAGTTCCCGTACAAAGCCTCTGGTGGCACGGTGTATCGCCGAGGTTAGCTGGGCGTGAGCGTCGATACCCCTCTGACTTGTCTCCATCAGAGAGCTAAACTCATCTCGTAACAAAACTGTCCAGTGATCAAATCTAGTCATTCATTGATTTAAAATGATGACATCAATATATATTAGGTTTTCTTGTGATCATTTTCTATCTAATCACATGAAAGACTGACAATAAAAGATAAAAATTATGTCCAGTGAGGCTGATGTTCGAGCTCTGAGACCCAAAGTAAAGTAACAGCTTAACAGAAAATTCCAGTTATCAATACTGATCAAGAGTTGCTTACATTGCTTCATTATTTTAACATAATGATAGAAAGAAGGATACTGCCCATAGCACCAAAGTAACATGCCTTAAAAACTGCTGTCTAATAGAAAAGCGGATAATTCATAGAAAAACCATACTGTCTGAAATAGCGTCTGAAATAGTCTAAAACCAATGTTCAAATATTAAAATTTTGAATTTAATTTATTCGCAAAAGAGACAGGTTAAGAATTTTGAAACCATAAAAGGTGAGGGGATTATTTCGGATTCTATAGCCTAATACGCTTCCCTTGGAGGGATTTATTCCTACCACGACAAATGAAAGATAACCCCATAACCAAAATGACATAAAAGAGAGCTCATTTTGAGGGCCTCCTTTGTTTCATGCAAAAGTTATATAACATGGTAACTATAATGAAATGAAGTTCAGATCACAACCTTTTTTCAATGTCAAAACAGACCTCCAGAATGCATTTTTTTTTACAGTTACCTCTTACAGTTACCTTTATGGATGTAATTTTGCCAAATCCGTCACCTTTGGGTATACTAACTCACAAAAAGTAGTTGTAGGAATAGGTGTAGGAAAAACTAACTATGCCAGATATCAAACTAGGGGAAAAACCGTTAGGATAGCAGCATGATGCCCCCGCGTAATTTTTGCACAAATGTTAACGAAATCTTAAGAAATCTATCGAGAAGTTACTCAAAGTACTTACAAAACATTCGAATGAGTGAAGGAAGAAAGAATCCGAAACTAAAGCTAGTTTGTTGTTGTCTGACTAGTGACCGCAAAGAAAGGCGCGAACAACCTGCAGTTCGTTTAAAGGCCGAATGCTCTAGAAGCTCAGTACCAACATACTTCAGCTAAACTATTCAACAACTTTAAAAAATATATTTTAAAGTATTTCAACGCTCTCAATATTCGTACTAATATTGATGATACCTGAATTTAGTTCCCGTTTAAATATGACTGGCAGCTAACCTCATGTTGTTACTTACACATTCGACAACGCAGATGTTGGTATCACTACAGTTCAACGACCCCATTCTCGAGGCTGACCTGCCACACTGTTTGTTTTCGTGATCACTCGCACAACAGAAATAAAGACCAACGACAACGCCTGGTATTCATTTGGGAAAATTAGAGTTTCTGCAATGGATTTAAATTATTATAAAAAAAGATGCGAGGAACTATCGGAGAAGAATGAACGAATGAATAATATGATTGAACGGTAAGATGTTAACAATGACTGGAAAATTGAGGTGTTTCCTCTGATTCTCAGACCATTTCAATTCTCCACACTCAAACCATAAATGAACAAAAGATGTTTTATTTAATTCAATTTTGGGGATATGTTTCGATTTTACAATGTAAAATTAGGTTATATATTGCTTATGGAAATAACATGCTGATGGCCAAATAATTTCTCCGAAAGCTAACTCAAGAAATGAAAAGTCAGCGTTTGTTCATGTCCCAAGTAAAAGTGAAGACATAGATAAGAAGCTCTGATGACTATTTACTGGGAGAGAAAGTTGCCCTAAATTTACAGGCAAAGAAATAAGAAAAATTCCATTTGTGATATCACTGGTTGTCTCTCTTTTTGTCACAGCATGAAGGACCTTCTTTTGGGTTGCGACACAAGCACGGCATCTGCAAACACAGAAACAGATATTGTAGGTAAGTAACAAAAACAAACATTTGATTTAAAAGTAAATGTCACATTTCTATTTCATTTAAGTTTGATTTTTAAAATTGAAAATTAGATGGAGACAATATTGACCTTCCATTAAGATTGATCTCTTATTTACTTTCAGAAACTACTGCATCAGCTAGCCCTATATTCAAGAGTAATCCACGTGTAAGACGGTGTCTAAATTTTGATCTGCCTGCTGCCGCTGAGGGCAGTAAAAAACCAGAATTGTCAAGCAATCAGCCTAATCCACTAGCTGCTGAACTAAAGCCAAAGTTGTTGTGTAGTTCTGATCAAAATACTATGAAATCTCTTGCTGGAGAAAATAAGGTACAATGGTTGAGTAGTTTGAACTTAAAGAGAGGAACTGCAGCAATACCAAATGAATTAAGCAGCTATAATGTCAAATGTAAAGCTGCTGAAGTGAAGCCAATAAAGTGCAGTAAGTCTAATGACAAACCAAAATCTGCTGAAGTCAATAAGCCACTGTGGTCTAATAGTCAAACTAAATCAAATGCTGCAGAAGCCAAGCAAATGAAAAGATCAAGTAGTTATGACAGGTCAGTTTTAATTTTGTCAAGTTGAAACCCAATCTTACTGTTCAAAGTTAGTCACAAATCTAAAACAAATCTGACTCATTTCCATTAACAGGCTTCCAGAGAAGGAAAATCCTCCTTATGCTTTCAAAGGAAAGACTGTAAGAGGAAATAAAAGGAAAGCATTCCCAGGACATGCTTGCACAGACTGTGAGGGAGTAAGTGAATGCAAACACTATAAAGTTACAAACAAGAGTCTCTTTATATATTTCACAAACAAACATCCTGTATTCTTTACAGTATTACGAGTGTGCTGGAGTGCAAGGTGATATCAATAAGGTTTCTCGTCACAGGGCTCAGCACCCACCTGTGCGCTCTCCAAAAGGTAAGAAGAATAAATTGGCATTCATAGAAGTGAAGTACTAATACCTGTACAAATTCATGTTGAAACTACATGTGTGCATTTTAGGGTTCTGGAGTTTGGATTTCCCAAGCACTCAGGAACTGCGGGAGAGGCAGTCAGCGTTACCTTCTCCTGAAAAAGAGTGGAGATTCTAATGTTTCTGTTTTATTATTTATTATTATTTAATACTCACATTATGTCTATATACATAATTCTATATTAGTTATCACTCACATCATGGCTATGTACATAATTCATTTAGATATAATTCAGTACAAAGCTAGATATAATAAAATGAAAGAACTGACCTGTTTCTCTGCTTTATTCGTCTTTTCAATATTCGTTGGGTTTGTCATTCATATGCAGTAAGAATGCAGCAAGACCTATCATAAGCAAATATGTACATTTGAAACAGTTTTTAAAAATAAATGAAATTAATGAGTCATTCTTATACTCATTTAAAGGAAAACATACCTTCTTGAAGAAAAGCAGCAACATAACCTGCTGAACGCTTACTGACACACCGACTTGTTACTTCAACATCGACGGAAATAGCAATTACCAAACAATGACTTTTAATTTTTAATTTCAAATATCTTTGAACTGATTCCACTAATACACCCCAGGGAAAGTGACTACAGCAAAATACAAGACGCTGTTCGGATGGCGTAAAGAATCGTCTGCAAAAACTGCTTTCTGCTCTTTGTTGAGATGTTAATTTCTCATAGCGTTTGTTGTCACTCGTTAGTGTTATTGACAGACGTCTTATTCGAAGTAATGTTTGGATCGTGAATTTGATAGCTATCATTCGCGCACCCAAGTAACAAAAATTGAGTGTAATATGCAAATGAGAGACTGACAGTAATGTGGCTGTGGTACCTTACGCTGTCGATGTTATGTGCCAGAAGTCAAGCTTGTTTGAAATCCACATCAGATTACAGGTAGGCCCTAAAATCGAAATTCGGAAAACCGGGTGAGAGGTTATCTCAGGGACTCTAAGCCATAATTTATATATTCTTGACAACATATAGAGACAGATTTAGCTACTCGTTTGAAAGAAAACCACTGTTTGTTGGAGGCTGATAGAAAATATTGAAATTATAAATATAATTCCCAACCTGTTGCCTTAGGCAATGAGATTTACTATTACCTAAACCCTCAAGAGGTATCTTGTTTTGTTTTGTGAGAAGCAGCAAAGTACTCACATAAATCAAAGCAAGTGACGCAAGTCAACATTAGGACAAATTTAAATCTGCTACAGTGACGCAACTGTACTTGCGACAAAATCTTGCTTAAAATAGTGGCGCAAGTATACATACGTCACTTTCATTGACTGAAGAGCCCAGAATTTGACTTACGACATATTTTCTGAGCTCACACAGCCCTGCCTAATTTGAATAAATAAGATTTGATTGGACCAAAAGATGCGCATTAACTTAGAGAATTTTATGCAAGCAATAACTCAGTTAGTGTCGTAAGTGCACTTACGTCACTCTTATGGATCACCACAGATATCTTCTCTCCGTAGAATGTTGCGCAGTAAAGGGCTCCCCCTAAAAACTCTCGCATCATGTAGGCTACCAACTTCTCCTATGTATGCATCTGTTACAAGCAATGTGTGGTCTACAACAGCTTGAACTTTAATCGAATAGCAAAACTTATAATTGCGATAAGCAGCTTTTTCTATAGTTGGCGCTATGATGTTTATATGGGAACCATCCATTATGCCCACAATCCCAGGAAAGTTTGAGATGCGTTCACAGTTTGCTTTGATGCTGTTGCGTTTTGCTTCGTTTGGCCATGTGATGTAAGTACCACGCATCTCACGCAATGCTCTGATTGTTAGAACGTAGTGATCATGAACTTCTGATTTGCTGACTCCAAATCGTAGGGCAACACTCCTAAATGAGTCGGGGGTTGCCATGATCCACACAACCATTAACAGCATATGAGCCACTGGACGTCTCTCTCTGATCAATAGCTCTTCTTCAGTTAAGTAGTCTCCAACTTCTTGAAGTAAAATCTGGAAAGGTTATGGTAAGTTCAAGAACATAAGAGCACACAGAGTTCAAGGAACATCTTAACTCACTTCAAAGAGTGGCTTAGTCAATCTGAAATGCCATTGGAATGATGGATCTCCTAAAATACAATATTCATTGATATCCACAGTAATATGTTCCCAGAGATTTTTATCATCATCATCTGAAAAACGAATCACAAAATTTTAAACCTGACATAATCAAGTAGAGTATTTACCAGAGAATAAGGTAAAGCAATTACCATCCAAAAGGTCAATCAGAAGGAACGCTACAGCTCCAGCCATCACCCGATGGTCGACTTCCATTTGTTCACAACGAAACTTAGAATAAATATCAAACAAAATATCAGAACTAGAGCTAGAACTCAACAGATCTGATCTTTGTTTTGATTTTAAAACAGCAGACAGCCGTAGCCGTCACTTGTCGTCAATCCCTAAGCCACAGCCTTTTCGCGTCTCAAGGCTGAGCGGCTAGCGGCTCAGTTTGGAAAACGTCTACTTGGGGATCTCTAGTTAACACCGGTGCGTGCGTGCGTGCGTGCGGACGAGCGCGCCTGGTCGGCGCGGAGTGCTTAGATGGCCTCTCGCTGCTCCTAACACCTCTTAAGTTCATCGAAGTACATATTTTTGGAAACGAGACAGTACAAGGATTATAATTTTGTCACAATACTTGTATTTATTTGTCACATTTTCGATAGACAGTCTTTGAAACGACGACGTTCGCCCCGCAAGCGGGGGAGGTTATTTTCAGATCGACTTTTTCACCGCTTAGACACGTTTTAGTCCATAACATAAAGCGAGCCGATTATTCGCCTGTCTTTAAGGTTTACATTGATACTTTTAGGCTTGCGATACGACGTCGGGTTCTCGAGAAAATTCTGTTTTTCACTCAAGGCTTGCCGAGCAGGTGGACCGTGGGGTATGGGCAGAGAGAAGGGAATGTTTCTGTTCTTTGGTGGCGGCGGTGTGCGGTGTTTGTGATTGGTGTGTAAGTTTTGAATTTTGAAATCTCTATCAGTCTATTTGGTTTGGTTAATTTTTAAGTTAAGCAGTGACCCTACGCCATGGACGACGAGATAGATTATGACGAAGAGGCTGCAGAATTGTTCATGTTAGCTATGTTCTTTGATGACGACGATCGGTTTCAATTTAATGGTAAATTTATTTGTTAGGTTAGATGATTTTGCTATTTGATATAGATAATTGATTCCCAATGTTGAATCCTTGATCCTTGTTTCTTCCAGAGCGATCGAGAATCTGGGTTGATATTGAAAGCTGGAGGCGACTGGGTGATCCCCAATTTGAGAAGCACTTCCGAATGGATACATCATTATTTGAGGTACTATATTTTTGTCACTTGCTGTTTGCTCAGTTTTCAAAGGCATGTACAGTTTTCTAAAATGTGATAATGTTTTCAGGTATTGCTGGTAGCAATTGGCCACCATCTGGAAATTAATGATAGATGGCAACGAAGCAGTCAGAAAGGCCTTGACATAGCGCTTCTTATGGTGTTGTGGATTTTAGCCACACCTGATTCATTCCGTGCAGTTGGAGTGATATTTGAGGTGGCTGAAGGAACAGTGCATTTTCATTTCAAATACATAATTGAGGCATTAAGAGAAATGGCTGTGTATTACATTCAGTGGCCAGGGGAACTTGAACAAGAATCTATTGCAGCAGCATTTGAAGAAATGTATGGGTATCCAGGAGTGGTCGGTTGCATAGATGGCTGCCACATAAATGTTACAGCTCCACTAGAGCAGAAACAACGCTACTTTGATAGGAAGCACAATTACTCTATACTACTGCAGGGTGTTTGTGACCACCGTCTTGTCTTCCGAGACGTGTCCGTTGGCCAACCAGGAAGTGTTGGAGACAAACAAACCTTCTCACGAAGCCCTCTGGGCCAAAATATCTTTAGAGATCCAACTATTGTGTTTGACAACCATCTTTTGGGTGATGGAGGTTATACATTAACTGATAAGGTACAACCAGATTACCTCCATTTCAATCAATGCATTGCAACCTATCCAATGTTGATATTTTTTGATTTTTTTTTCCTTTTAGGTGCTAATACCGTACAGGGATAATGGCAATCTTACCAGATGCCAGAAAGTCCATAATTATTACCTTTCAAGAAGTCGGTCGTGTGTGGAGAGGGCTTTTGGCTTGCTAAAAGGAAAGTGGAGGTGGCTTAAGTATTTCCACAACTACTGCATCGATTACTTGGTTGACAGTATCATGGCTTGCACTGTACTTCACAATTTTATCATCTTGGAAGGAGATATTGTTGAGGTCAGTGGTTTGTTTTTTTTAATGACATGAACAATTTTACTTTTTGAATGTTATTATCTGCTTGTGTCATTTCATATTTGTTATTTTCTTATCAGGAAGTTAACCATGAAGACGCTGGAAATGAGGTTGAGTTGCGACAGCTCATCAATGAGGCAAAAGCAAATGGCATTTTAAAGAGAGATTACATCGCACAATATTTGTTTGCGTAGTGTCATTTGAACCTTGTATATAGCACCTTCTGTCTTAGTCCCTTTTATATCTGTATATATTTTGACTCCTTTACCCAATCAAGTGCAGCTAATATCTTTTAAAAAGTTAATTCTGGTTGTTTTTTTGTGACACCTTTTTACTAATCAAAGCTTCCAAAATTTTGTGGGTTGTGCTTCCCTACCACTTTTTGTAATGAATGCAGTGATAAGAATGTTGTAGCTACTCAATTTAAGGTACCAAGCCAATTTAAGCCAATTTGTAGTTTTCCTAATGGGAGTGCAATGTATATGATTTTAAATAAATTTTGTCAGGATGATATCAAAGATAATAGAGTATAATCATTTTCAAGTTATGAAGAACAATAACTCAACTAAACTTGAGTTTTGATAAAAAATATGAACATAACTAGATCTCAGAGATCAATTGGCAAACTGAAAACATGTCTTTGGATAACAATATCAACATAAGTAGATCTATAGAGATCAATTGAAACAATATCTATACGACGAGATCTTAGAGATCAATTGAAAAACTGAAAACATCTTTTGATAACAATATCAACATAAGTAGATCTATAAAGATCAATTGAAACAATATCTATACGACGAGATCTTAGAGATCAATTGAAGAACTGAAACATATCTTTTGATAACAATATGAACATAAGTATATCTATAGAGATCAATTGAAACAGTATCTATACGACTAGATCTTAGAGATCAATTGAAAAACTGAAAACATATTTTTTGATCACAATATCAACATTAGTACATCTATAGAGATCAATTGAAAAACAGAGTAAGACTTTGGAAGTGATCACAATGAAGGTGAGTTCTGATCTTTACTTTGCTGTTGCTTCTCCGCGTAAGCATTAGCAAAGATCCAAAAAGCATTTGACTTTTGGACTATTGCCTGAAGTTCCATTTCCTTTTTTGATTGCCGTCCCTTAAGGACCAGAGGGCGTGCCCTTGACCCCACCCTGAAAGTTCTGTCAGGAAGAGTGCTTGGAGGGCTTGAAGCTGCATTCTGCTGAAAGAATTGATCAAATATGTAATCAATCATGCATGTCCACACAGTTAATCTTAAAAGGGTAACCATATCCCCACTCACCATCAGAAGTTGCGAACTAAAGCTAGATGATCCAGGCACTGCGTTTAGGCGGCTTGAGGAAGCTGAGCTCTGCTGAGAGAATTATGAAGTAAGTATTTATGTAATGTCCACAACAGAGTAACAATGATAATAGAATGAAATTTCCTACACACCACTTGAAGTTGTGAGCTGAAGCCAGATGAGCAGGTGTATTTGGGCTCACAGGTAACATTTCCTTTCAGTAACTCTCCCATAATTTCAAAGAACTCCACTTCCTTTTCTGAGAATCCATTTTGCAACGGGTGCGGTCTACCCGTCCCGTGCACTTGACCACTGTGAGTCGGATTAAATGACAATTCATTCGAAGACGAATTAAATTCGAAGACGAGAAGCACTTGACCACTGTGAGTCGGATTAAATAGAAGGGCAAATCATTCGAAGACGGGATTAAATTTGAAAGTCGGATTAAATAGAAGGGCAAATCATTCGAAGACGGATTAAATTCGAAGACGAGATGCAAGACGTAAATAAACAGTTCACTTGGCCCGACCGCCCGTGTGCCTCATCGGCTGGTGGCCTGTTAGCCTCGCACCAGCCCCAAAACCAGTCGCACGTTGACGCGCACGGCCACAGACATTCGACGGCACTCTAGCACATTTCTGGGTAGGACCACGGCAAGCAGAAGGCATTTTGACAAAAGTGTGAAAACTGTAATGTAAGCAACGACAGAGGAAGAAAGGCTGATGTTTCGAGTCGGTCGTAGTCTTTGATGCAGGGTCAATGTATAAAAAACCCCAGCCGGAGCGATCAGTATCAGGACTCCCCGTAAACGTAAGTTATTCTGTCGTCTTGGAAGTTCATCTGGAGGTTAGAGGCGACGCATATTTCTTTAATTTGCAGGAAAACCAGACTCGAGCGCCAATTTTTTATTAAGCGTTTCCGATTCTACCCAAAATTTCCCTTCCGATTGTTTACTTGACTGACTCCAGCTCGAGGAGTCACTCAAGTAAACAATTACCACTTTTTCTCTCCCATTTTTGTGCTCACAAGTTGCCAAAACTGCGTATGGCGCACAGGTTTATCATATTCTTCTCTATTAGCAAGCAATATGTGAGCAAGTTCTATTTTGGCAAAGATGCTCCAGGTGGCAACTAAAAGTGAGTTACAAATGCAATGCATCATATTAAGGCATGTTACTATTCGCAAGTTATTTTAGAGAATTAAACCTAAAATAAAGGTACTCACCTTTACAGAATTTTGCCAACTCATCATTTAAGGAGATGCCAGAATCTGTAATTTCAGTAGTAGCTGTGGGGAGGATACTGTCCTGCTCAGGTGGATCTTGCTGAGGATCAAATTCTGTTCCTTTCAAAGACATCACGTCACCTTTTCCAAAGGCGACATCCAACACTTTGTACAAAGATGACCGCCTTCCGTCTTTTGTCATTTTGTTGTAGAGATCAAGTTTATTTCTTCTGATCCTTCTCAGGTCACTAATTGAACCGTGAACATTTAGAGTTTTGAGTACAGATTTTATGTGAGATAATACTAGCTCATGTGATCCACGGTCAGGAAAAGAGTCCTTGTGCAATATTAATTTCCTCAAAAGAACCACCTCTCCTTCTTTTGAGTTAACAGAAATGACTTCTTCAGAGGCAGCAGTAGCTAAGAAAGAAGACTACATTAATGCCAAAACCTCATTTAGATAGATAATACATAAGTTACTAGGAATAATCTACTTAAGACCAACCAGAAATTTTTCCATCCAAGAGGCATTTTCTAATTGAAATTTTTTCATGTTTGCCTGATTTGCTGTTTGAGAGGCCCTCAAGAAGAGTTGCCAAGTTGGCAAGCTCACAGGAACTGAACTAAAGAAAAATAATACACAAATGTAGACAATTCTTAAAAAAAGATGGGTAGAACAGAAATGCAGGGTAAAAATACCTTTACTAAAGCAGTGTCTTTAGTGGTGCACACAACTGTCTCCACGACTTCATCTAAAACAGTGACAAAACCAGCTTTTGACATTTCAGTCGTCAACATATCTTTCAAATCATCCTGAAATTGAGGAAAATACAATGTAATAAACCCGACAACCTACCCATCCCCTTTGTGAACAAACAATTATCTCTACTCACAACAGCCGTATCTGCTACATGCAGCATCTTGCAGTACACACTGTCTTTAAGTACTACATCAAGTTCTGGTTCCTCATCAGTTTCATTGTCAATGTTAATTCCAATATCATCAGGTATTGTGCTTTCTTCTGTGATAGTTGGTCCCCTTTTTTCTGAAATAATTTTCCCCCCAGGTTGACTCCTTTCTTCTTTAATAATTTCTTCCGCTTCTTCTATTATTAACCTGTCTAAAACATATTCTTGAAATTGCAGTTCTTTGAGCACTGCATCAGCAATAGTA